TATTTCAAAGACTTAATAGTATGCACTTATGCACATGTACCGGCTTGTTAACTTCCATTGTTTACAATGAAATTAGGAATTCCTTAAATATGGATTTATCTAAAAACGCATAAAGTGACAAAACGGTATTGATTATTTCCTCTCATTTCTATTTATGTGCAATTTGTGTGCATTACTGATATAATGACAATAGAGAGAGACATTACGAGTCGATTAATCCACATACCTTGACATGGCCTTGACCTCTACCTGTGTCTGGTAATGAAATCGTTAGATGAGTTACGACAACATTATCCTCTTAGTATCGCGTACTCCATACAGGAGTATATACAGCAATACTTAACAACCGGACATTCTATTTGAAACCCAAATCAATGTCACCAATCCGCTTATAACATCCCAGAGAATCTTTGTATATGTAATATGTGCGTGCGTCCTAAACATTCGAGTAATTCAGACTAAGAGTATCAACAATTGAGACAAGATGCGCTGATGACATGGTGTAAGAAGTCCTTGACTCGTCATTTATCTCTAAAAGTGAATTCCTATTCTTAAAAATAAAATGTGCATTATAGTCATAGCAAACAGAATAAGCACATTTAAATTAAATTGTATACAGCCTCTGCATTCAGATGTTGGCGTGATAGAGCTGAATGCGGGTATCGTCAATTCTTCGAAGAGGTACACAGAAGGGCAAAATTCCAGACTAATTCAACAAGCATGGCTGTCACACTATATATGATACACCTACACGCAAAAGCAATTAAAATGGTATGACGTAAAGGTTCCATCATGGAAAAACAGTTTTTCCGTTTATTATTCTCAGAAATTATACGCAACAATTTGAATTAAAAAATGAATGCTCGATAGCCGTTGTACACTGTAAGTGTCTAAATAGATATTCAAGATATATTCGAAATTACTTTCGTTATTCCTCGCGAATTAAAATGAAAATATATGAATCGCAAAATGATGTATTTCGCAGTGTATGCTACATGTATGTAGCTACCCGAAGCTGAATAAAACATAAACATGTACTCCTACATGTACACTTAGAATTTGTGAACATATAGATAAATAGGAATGACATCTGGTTGTTATTAAATCAAACTGTTCCTGGCGAGTGACAGTACACTACACAGAGGCAGAGGAAAAGGCGGTATGCATGTACATTACATATATGTATATCTGTTCAAATTTCTAAACTAACTGGCAATATCCTGCGGAAATTGTATCACGTCATTAGGTCTGCCAGCATGCCTATATATGTATAATATATGTATAATTATATTAACCATGTTCAGTGAAAAACGAACTACACAGCCATGACGATATGAGTTATAGTCAATGATATACATGTATACTGTTTCTACGACCATTAAGGCTTGTATTATTGTGTCAAGCTCCACGTGCTCTAGTTAGTAGTAGCCTCGGAGTGTATGATTTGCATAGTGATTTTTTTGTGTATATAGCCGTATGTGTGCAGAAGCGTAGCGTTCTCACAGATGGCACTGATAAATTGATATTCATTAACAAGTGAATCAATATGAATTAAATGTGGAGAAGAATCTGTACTTAGTAGTAACACAGATTGGTGTTCATGTTGAGGGAGAGCATAGCTGTTGTGATACATAAGTGTACCCGGAAGCACCGGTTCTAATTGTACACGTGTACATGTATATACATTCTCATCGCACGAGGAATGAAAATAACAGCTTATCTGTTCGCCCGCACGTGAATGCACGTGTCCTGTTTGTCCTACTACTATACAACCAGTAGTGACTCTAATTTTCCCACACACAAAACTCTCGTTCGGGGAGATAGTGCTTGTAGAGCTTAATGCTGGTATATATATATGCATATATATTTGTATAAATATAAAAGATCCCACTACATGCTACCAAGTTCTGTTAAGATAGGACCATGAACAACCCCGGACATACTTGCAAATCCTGGTCTATTTGACGTCAAAATTAGCTTGTACTTTTTATTGGAAGTATTAATGAGAAATTATCCTGTCTCCGACAAAGCTTGAACATTGGCTGGCATTGAGAGCAGCAGCAAGCTAACAGAGCTCAAACTATCCGATATCGCAGCAGATCATTATACCTGATAATGCTTCACTAACAGCACCGAACTATTTATAGGTACGTAAAAATGGAGCTAAAAGCCAATAATCACATTTAAAACATGTCTAGTATTTAGTGTTCGTGCTAAATTGAAAATGACAATAGTGCATTGTTTTCTAAATATTATTGAGGTATTTTTTACGTTTTAATTTCAATTGTATAGGGAACGGTGCATGCTGTCGTCTGCTGTAACGACCGTTCAATATTCGAACTGTAATATTGAGCTATTTTTAAATCGCTTATGAAAGCGGATACTCAAAACCTTTGGTTCAGTAAATTGTGGAGGATTAGTAAATCCATAAATATGTATAGACCGGACAAGAGTACACATGACAAGTGTCAATATTTCAAAAGATTGTTTGGATCTCGGGATATTTTATAGTGTGATATCATAGGACTGGACGGCTTAGAACAGGTTTTCGAAGTAACCATTCGAAAGCATCGTCATGGAGCGTCAAGGTGGACCGACGAGGCACGTGTGACAGCGTTTATGTTTTAAGAGCATATTGTTTTAGTGTATACGACAAAGAGTTGCAATGCAAAACCTGAAAGCTTTCTGGTGGTTCAGCCTTTTTAGATATAAAACCGTATACCAGTACAAAAAACATAACCTACCTCCACCAGAGTCAGAAGAATGCAGGCGTTTCCTAGATTTCGCACTAAGAGACCTTTGAAGTCGTGATCCAGGGGCTTTTCCAGATTTCTTTATCTTCAGTTTCTTGATCGCCTGTCCCACTGTAAAATGAAGCAAGTGAGAACAAGAGTAATGACGTTGTGGCAGAAATCACAGAATCCCAATCCAGGACAAAGTTTTACACACAAATTACATCTCCGTAACGCTTAACTCCTTCCACACTTACTAGTATTTCGAAATTTTGACATGTTGGAAGTAGTCACTATTGCATAAATCCTTCCATCGCTGTATATACGATATGTACACTCTATACACACACTACTAGGGGTAAAGCCTGTACGGCGAACACTCGACGTTCCTTGTCGACCTCGCTACAGACAACAATACTACTCTCCTTCTCTCAGCCTCGGCTTCCATTGCCTTTCCATAGTAAACATCCCAAATGGACGGGTACCTAAAAATCGAACACAAATCGCTCTATGGTTACCGGCATGCGCCTCCATTACGTATGTTATGAAATACGGCACATATTAAGCCTCTAATCATTACTTACGTGCATGGCATGCACAAACGTTTTAAACGAAACAATATTTGTGATTTGTTACCGGTACATATCGATGGGATTTGTTTAAGATAATTGAAGAATAGTTTTGTGTTTTTTGTCTAATTGAGCTTTTATACAGGAGTTTTGATTGCTCTATAGCTACACAACTGATATTTCAGGATAACAAAATTATCGGAAGGTGAGTTGATGAGTATCAAGGTAAAGCAACAAGTGAAAAAAAGGTCTACTCATGCAGAAATCCTATTGTTTTGTTCTATAATCACGTGAATGTGCATTAAAACTGCAAATTCAGCATGAATTATAAACAGATATCTCGTAATTTGAAATGCACAGCTAAAACAAAATGTCAGCAACACGGTTTGACTTGGCGTAGGGGTGGGAAATCAATGCAAATGGAAAAAAATACAGAAAGAACGACAGCGAATTCCTTAAACAAAACAAGGAAGAATGTGATATGTTTTGAAATATAACACGTTAGAAAGATTAAACAGGTGAACGTGAGGTTCTCTAGACACCTACATCACACGTGCACACGTACGTGAATGGTTCCCAGGTACAGTATGGTGTTGACTTACGTAGACTAATACTTGTACATACACATGGCGATTGAATATATCGATGACCAAGACAATACGGCATTATAAAGTATATCAATCATAATACACTATATTGATTTGGAATTGGAACCCAATGAGCATATTGAGTTTTCACAGTTACATTCGCAGCTATAGGCGTATGTGTACTGTTGAGAAAACTATGTTCTCGCTGAAGTGACACTTTCTTGGTTTGTATCGATTCGGTTTGAAAACTCGTACAAAAAGCCGTGCAATCTCTAGCCTACAGACAGAGGTAGTCGGCAGTCTGGCAAAGGCGGCCTAAAGTGACATTTAGGCGATAGGGCGCTGGGCAAGGCATCTAGGGATCAATGTTCCGAATTCTACCGAGACATGGTCACCCACAGCTGACCAGGCTACGTAAGATTCACATTATATATTGTTTGACGGTAACATTTACGCGTATGACATTTATATTGGGTGAAGGTCATTTTTCCAAAGTTGTTATACTACTCTGCCTTAGAGGGCAATATAAGATACAAATGCGGCAATTTTCATGAAAAGAAATTATCTGCAAAATGTCAAAGAAGCAACGCTACCCAATGTTTTCACTAGATATTTTCTCCCGATGTGCTCTCTTCACCTCACCATTTAAGGACATACCTTAATGCAGTGGCCTATATACTTGTATATATTGTTCATTAATAAAAAATAGTTTACACGCATCTGGTCATTTATTCTTGATAAACTGTAGATTTAGTACTGACACACTTAGGAGGTATACATTGTACATACATCACATAGAAAACGTTCCTACAATGTATACTAATAATTGATGAGACCACGCTAAAAACAAATACGCGCCTGTAAGGAACAAAATGCTTTCACAGGTTGCGGCGCATATCATTTGAAATGATGTTTGCAAGTCCGTCACGTGTTGATTCCATGTGTCGACGAGCGAAACATGTATCGAGAGAGTGATGTATGTGTCTGATTGAAATAAATATCCTGTATTAAGCACGGCGTCAGTATTTTTAGTTTATCGTTAAACGAAACAAGAAACAAATGACGACTGTAAATGAAACTCTCACAATTGGAGAAATGGTATTTCGTGAAGACGAGTTGCGCACAATTGTTGACTTTCATCAGCTATACAAAAGCGTCGCTCAACTTGTTCAAGCCGAAGGGTGACGCTCTGGTAGCGGGCAAATGGCTGTTACCACGTCTTTTGATATAGAATGAACGACAATTTTGAAGATCAAACAGAACATTAAGGGTAATTTAACAAACTGTTTTCCAAAGTATCTGACACGTTGATCACAGGGCGCTTTTCCGTTGTCAGTCGTTTAAAACTTTGACCACTAAAGCAAATGTCAGTTTGGCCACTAGTCACACAAAAAGGACTATTTTTGATATTTTTGAAATAATGAATTGAACACATGTATGAGACTTCTGTGAACTAACATGGGATCTGTTAACACTAATGGCAGAAGTGATGGCTTTTTCTATTATTGGACAAGAAATTTTCTTTTCGAAAAGTGATATGGAATTAAAGGGTATTTTGAAAATTTGAAACAGTATAGGATCATTTTGAGCATTCGGACTCTTGCCTATTGGATACAAATTAAGCTTGTTGACCCCTGGATACCAGAAGTGCCCCTTACAGGTAGAATTTACGTGGTTTTTTGGCGTTAATTAACCTGTTTCTTGTACGCTAGCTAGCTTCGTGTGTCGTTCGGGATTGTGGAGAGAATACGCACGCAATGCATACACCCTGCTGAATCGTTCGTACGTACGTGAATGTTAGCTGTTGGCGGTTTATGTCATCTCGTGCTCCCGAGAGGGGTTAATTGTGCCTCAGTTGTTGGTGTACGGTCGAATATAAATCAACGTGCAATAGGCTTTGTAGGGGCAGGTTTATTTTACCTCACACTTTCACATGGCTTTATATTACTGACATCTTCAGATTTCTCCCAAAACTAAACAATCACTTGCATCTGTGATTGTTTGAAAATGTTTAGCTACACGCAGTTGCATATAATGGTGAGTGTGTGGAGAGATAACGAATATCAATAACTTAACGAAAAAAAGCCTCCTATTATATTGTGTGAGGTTTTACGTATTTGCAGGTGACGATGATGTTAATACATAATTGCTTACTCATTAGCTTCTTTACATTGTCATCTCAATGAAATGTCCAAGCATAGACACAATTCCATAACAGATCATATATGTATCAGATATATGGTCCTGCACTTTCAAGTACATCAATATTGAAATAATTAGTAAGGACAAGTCGTTATGGATAAAAAATGTGGTGACAATTGTTTAACCTAATTAAATTAGAAATCATTTTGAAAAAGACTGCCACACATACAGTGATATTTCTCTTGATTTTTATCTCAAAACATTTTAAAGGCATTACAAATGAAAGAAATATCAAACAACTCTGTTTCTGAAGTGCCTATATTACCCAAATGTAAACTCCTGTGTCTGATAAAGAATTAGGAATATAATAACTAGAGAACTGCGTGTCATTAGGTTTCTAATGATATAAACATTTGTTTATAAATAAATTAACAGAAGTATTATCAATGTTACATATGTGTGCAGACAGCTTGGTTTTGGTTTCGGTAAAAACAGAGGGTACCGGCCATGCTAACTACATGTAGTCCGCTTGACTATACTGACAAGTGAAATTAATCTGATAATATTGATTAAACTAAAATATTTCTACTTAGAAAGTCTGGAAATGTGTTGTGACGAAAAGTTACAATATTTAAATGAAGTTCCTATATAATCCTGTTACCTTGGCATTGCCTTAAAACGTGCATATATATATATAGATATAGAATTGAAATGTGAATGCAGCATATTAACATTTAGCCTAAAACGCCAAAAAACAGTATTAAATGTACGGACATAAGCCCATGTATAGACAGGCAATAAATGTTATCAGCTTTTGACACTGATATAGGTAGCATTTCAAACTTTGCAAGTGAAATATTGGTTATGCATAAGAATACTCTTATAGACACTGTACATCCTCAATTTGTAAAACTGTACACTATGGGACATATGAGACAAAAACAGAAACCATCATTGTTATGATACTTTCCTTAAAGTATCATTTTTGTCGTTACTTAGTTGACGATATGTGTCTGTATCTGTATAGTTTACGAGTCGTTTATCACAGCTGATTTTGTTAAAGTAAGATTTGATGAAATTAATCCTATTTGTGCAAACCGATAAAAAAGACATGATTATATTCAGCATAAGAAGGTGACAAATGACACTTCATACCTCGATCACAGTTGGTGCAACGATGCTCTTAAGAACCTTGCAATGGCTTGTGGCGTTTACAGCTATGAAAGGAGGAGATCGCCAAGCATTCTAGTAAGAGATTGCTACGCATGGTATCTTCACGAAAAAACGCGTTAAACATGAATTCAATTTAAATCGTGTAACACCTTTATTGACTTAATCGAAAACAGTGATGAGAGTTTGATTAGATATGCAAGATGCACGAGGAGGTCAAGGTCATCGATTTGTTGGTACACGTCAGTCTCGTTTATCTTAGCTTGTCTAATTAAGCTTCGGATTACATTATCAAGATAGATGTTTCTCTAGCCACTGTCGGCACCAGCATGGCATTCGGAGTATGACGGAAAAACATCGCAAGTTAAGCAGCAATGCGCAAAAATACACCTCTTTGACGTCATCAAAAGGACTAGGTTTTTGTACAATTTCGGAAATAACTTGATATTTGATTTTATATGTAAAATCCATATACGTGTTTTATATCAAGCATTACAAATATGTTAGGTACATAAACCAAATAACCTCGTGAAATGTACAGTTCTTATATCACACATGATTTCTTGCAGTTCCACTGATAGATGTCCGTGTACTCCTATTAAAGCAGACAGAGAGAAAGAATCTGGCATCATTTCATAAACAACCAATCAATAGATTAATCTTT